GATTCTTTCACGTTACCTGCAGCGGTTTGAATAGTGGCCCTCAAAAGGGTATGTGCAAGTCCTAATCCAAGGGAACTGTGAATGTGACCTTATCTGGGAAAAGAGTCTTTGCAAATGTAAATTAAGGATCTTGAGGTGAAATTATCCTGGATTATTCTGGCGAACCCTAAATCCAGTGACAAGAGAGAGAAGGGAAGGAGGCCCAGATCCAGAGGAGAAGTCATGTGAGGACAGAGGCAGAGATTGGAGTTACACATCCACAAGCCAAGGACTGCCTGGAGCCACCGGAAGCTGGAGGAGGCAAGGAAGGATTCTTCCCCTCAAGTCCCCAGAGGGAGCATAGGCCTACTGATAGCTTGATTTCAGAATTCTAGTTTCCAGAAGTAAGACAGAGTAGACTTCTATCATTTTAAGCCACCAATTAGTGGTAATTTGTTACAGCAGCCCTAGGAAACTATTATGTGCTTTAATGTGCAACCAATTTCTCTCAAAAAGAATAGAATTATCCCAAGTGGCAAAGGGAGGGCTCCCTGTGAAGCTGTCACAGCACCCTTCCTGCCAGTCCTGCCCCAGAGCCTTAAGATACCACAAAGCTCTTAGGGATGAAGGCTTGTCTGGGCACACTGCCTGCCTTGTGCTCCAACAAGGACAACATGCCTCCACTGCACATGGTGATTGCAATCACATATCTATGTGTATAGAAGATTTGGAAGATTCTTTTGAAATGCTTTTCCATTTTTTCTCAAATGGTCCTGAGTGCTCAACGAGGCCATTATGTAACATGGGGAACTTGACAAAGATCACTTAAATGGTTCACCCAAGAATGAGAACCAAGGTTTTCCAACTTGGACCAATGCTCCTTCTACACCCCTGCTGGGCAACAGCGCACACCTGGGACAGTGAGGAGGCTGTGAGGTGATGGGAAGTCTGCAGTCATGTTTAAAACCCGAAAGTATCCTAGGCTCCGTCATTTTAATTGGATGAATAAAGTGTGTGTCCTGAGCTCCTCAGAAAATTAAAGAATTAGTTGTGGTGCTTCTCAAACTTCGCTGTGCATATGAATCACCTGGGGAATCTGGTTAAAATGCAGGTTCTGATTCTTTAGGTCTGGGGTGGGACTTGAGATTCTGCATTTCTTACAAGCTCTCAGGTGATAACTGAGCTGCTGGTCTGTGGACCACACTTTTTGAGTGGCAATGAGATGTAGCTGCTGGCTAATTTCTTCACACTTACAGCAGTAATTAACCATGCTTGCCCTCTAATTCAGTAGTAAGAACTGTGGCTCTGACTTTATCATTTCAGGAGAGACTGATGACACTCAAGTTGGCAGTGCTTAGAGAAAAGTTTTATTGTGGGTCAATAACCATAAAAATATTCATACCTTTTGGTCTAGTAATTCCACTTATGGGTGTTAATTCTAAATAAATAACCCCAAAAGATGGAAAAACCTATGTGAACAACAGTGTTCTACTACAGCATTATGTATACTAAAAAAATATATAAAATCTGTGTCTATTATAAAGGAAATTATTACATTAATTATAATAAATTCACTCAAGACAAAAGCAACATGTAAGTAAAGGAATAAAAAAATTTTTTTAAAGATTTTATTTATTTATTTGAGAGAGAGAGAGAATGAGAGATAGAGAGCATGAGAGGGAAGAGGGTCAGAGGGAGAAGCAGACTCCCCGCAGAGCAGGGAGCCCAATGCGGGACTCGATCCCAGGACTCCAGGATCATGACCTGAGCCGAAGGCAGTCGCTTAACCAACTGAGCCACCCAGGCGCCCAGGAATAAAAATTATATGAATGACACGGGCAACAAATTAATGGATTAACCATTTCAACAGATTTTTCCCAGATTGAGAATCTATGGAATTAAGGTATAACAAACCATGGGCCCCTGTCTCTATTGTATTTTTTTAAATTGGGTGGTGAAGACAAGGGTGATGTCCTTACAAATTCTTATGCCTTTCTGTATTCCTGAAATATTTCAAAATTTAATTTAAAAAAAAAAACCAAGATGGTTGGGGACAGAATGAAGAACATTATAACCTACATGTTAAGAGTGTCAGTATTATAACAAAGTGAGCCAGATTGCCCCCCAAAAAATTTGGTCTTGGCTCTTAAAGTTACCAGAGACCATGGAGAGCAAGAATAAAGCATGGGGCTAACCAAGAGGAATGGGTAAAGTCTGTCTCTGGATCCTTGGATCCCTAGATACCTGCCCCACTAGAAAACTATCTCTCCCCAGTTTCTACCACCATAGAAGATGAGCAGTTTATTCTCCAGAGAAATTGAGTCACATTAGTTCAGAATTCAGGCACCTCTCATCATAAACGGCCAGGTGAAAACAGCAAATTAATTGAAGATCAACATACTGAACAGTGGGATCTTCCATCCCGTGTCTGCCTGGCTCTCAGCCCTCCAGGAGCTAGATGTATATGCCCACAGGCAAGAGCCTAGGAAACTACAACCTGTGGGCCAAGTCTACTCCACTCTACTGTTCTTGCAGATAAAGTTTTATTGGAACCCAGTCACACACATTCATTCATGAATTATTTATGACTGCTTTTTGCTGCAACAGAAGAGCTGAGTAGTTGCAACAGACACCATCTGGCCTGTAAAACCTGAAATATTTACTGTGTCTTGCAGAAAACGTTTACTTACCCTTGCTCTAGAGAAAAATCAATGTCCCCCAAGGAAAGCCCCCAAATCCCTCATTTGGAGCTCTAGTGAAAAGTCTGGTGAAGCCCTGACCACATACACACTGAGTTCTCCAAGCAGGTTTTAGTATTTTACTCTTACGCACAAGTGGATGTCCGGAGGTTTTCCAGACATTCAAGGGAAACCCCAATGTGATGCAGTATGATGCAAACAAAGAGCAAAAGGGACTTGGAGGAACCAAAAACTATTTAAAAAAAAAACAGAAAATAAAAATATGGAATTAATATCCTCAGAAATATTAATATCAGCATCACCTGGGTGGCTCAGTCAGTTCAGTGTCCAACCCTTGATTTCGACTCAGGTCATGATCTCAGGGTCATAGGATTGAACCCCACCTCGGGCTTCGTGTTCAACAAGGAGTCTGCTTGAGATTCTCTCTCTCCCTCTCCCTCTGCTCCTCCCCCTCCACTCGCACTCTCTCTCTGTGTCTAAAATAAATAAATAAATCTTTTAAAAAAAGAAATATTATTATCAGATATCAGAAGATATTTCATCCATACATCAAGAACTAGATCCTATGATAAACAAGAGTGAACTCTGGAAACTTAAGAAAGTGATAGCCCAAATTAAAAAAATAAATAAATAACAAGATGGAAAGGACTGTCAAGCAAAAAGACAAAAATATGAAAAATGGCAGGGCAAATTTAAGAAAATTAGATTACCAATCCAGAATGTCCAATGTTCAGCTAGAAAGAATTATAGCAAGAGAAAACCAAGGAAATGAAGGGTATGAAATTAGCAAAGAAGTAATACTTCTGGGAAATTTTTTTAATCTCTTGCACCTTACACCCAGCACAGTAAATAAAAACAACCATCAAGGGCCAGGGTGAAATCTCAGGGCACTGCAACAATGAAGAGAAGGCTCTGTTTCTAGAGAGGAAAGACACTAAGCAAAAGAACAAGACTCAAACTGGATCCAGAATAAAACTGGATCAGCAGTAACACTGGATGCCAAAAAGCACAGTAGAGCATCACCCTCAGAACCCTGAAGGAAGATAATTTTTTCCCTGGGGTTCTGTGTCCAGCACTGTCAGCCAAGTATAAAGATAAAATAAAAATATGTTTAGCCCTGCAAGGACTTGAAATAGTTAGCCTTTATGCATCCTTTCTTAGGAAACGACTCAAGGAGTATTTCAACACAATCAGGGAGTAAAACCAGTAAACAGAGTGAAGTCCAGAAAAGCAAGGGCTCCACACGGAAGTGAATGACGTCCCAGGAGGGTGATTTTACATCAGGCGTGTAGAGCCAACCGTCCAGACTGGCGCGAGAGGACTCAAGACTTTGAAGAGAGGACCTCTGGGAGACGGGGAGACAGAACTGAACAACGATTATGTAATGTGTTTAAGATGTGGAAAAATTATTGCTAGGCATTTCACAGATTTGTTAGAAGGCTTGAAGAGGGTAGTATGCTACTTAGTGCCGCAGAAGACAATTTGTATCTAGTTTAATAATGTGGACAATAATAAATACTGATTTAACAAAAATTATTATATGTCTCTTAGGAGGATCATGGGAGGAGGTGGGGGTGGGAGATTTGGGGACTGGTGAAGGGAAAGTTAAATCCTCATCTAAAATTGATAATCAAGAACAACTATAAAAACCAAATTTAGAAATACACAGGTAAGTGCTAAAGGAAACAGAAGGGTAGAAAATATAATAAGTCTCTGTGAGAAGGGATAGGAGAAAAAAAATCTATTTTTTTTGTTAAAATTGCTGTTTTTGTGTGTGTGAAATCATTTAGTACTATTTTATTGTTTTAAAAAAGATCATGTGGCCGTTTAAATTATAACTGATAAAACTAAGTCGCTCTGTGGAATAATGCTTATAATGCATTACCTCCTTTTGGTCTCTCAGGATTTTAGTCTTTGTAATAAGGAAGTCTCCCAGGTAGGAACACTTGGCTGGCAGCCTGGAGGGCTTCTAGTGTCCTTGGTGTGACCCGGATGCCCTGAGATCCGTATCTCTGTGAGAGGGTGATACACAAGCAGGTTTGGACTTGTGTATCAGTCAGGCTAGCGCAGCCAGGAACGGATGCACCAGGGTTCAGGTAAAGAGTAAAGTGGGGAAAAGATATAAAATGCCTGCATAACTATGACTGCATGATGCAAAAATGATACATTCGTCATGAGAAGGAAACAGTTGGATTTGTCCCAGAATTGGGAGTAAAGGTGTTTTCCCTTTAACTTAGAATTACATAAAGACAGAATGTTTGTGTAAAAGAGAATACAAGTTTTTACAGGAAATCAGTGGTGTTCTTTGCTTCCCTCCCGCAGCTTAATTGCTTACACGGAACAGTATGTGGAATATGATCCTTTGGTCACGCCGGCTGAGCCCTCCAATCCCTGGATCAGTGACGATATCACTTTATGGGACATAGAGATGAGGTAAAAACAAAAAAAAAGTTTTAATGTTTGAGAAGGAAAGAGATGTGAGAAAAAAATCATGAGATAGTGAGATTACATTATTTCCTATTTTAATTTGACGATTTTTATCACTAGAACAGAAACCCCTCAAGTTACCTCCTAAGTCCTGCCCACACATGGTTCTACCTCCCTATAGCTTCGCTTTGTACATGGATACTCAGTGGCTTTCTCTGACCTCTCTCTGACCCTTGGATATCATGATAACGGGGACAGTCCTTCACATTTGCCAGTTCTTTTTTTTTAAGATTTTATTGACTTACTTTGAGAGAGAGAGTGAGGAGGTACAGAGGCAGAGGGAGAGAATCAGACTTCCTGCTGAGCGCAGAGCCTGACAAATGCGGGGCTCGATCCCACGACCCTGAGATCAGGACCCCAGCCGAAACCAAGAGTTGAGCACTCAACTGACAGCCACCCAGGTGCCCCCCATTTCCTAGTTCTGATTGCTGGAGGGAAAAAAAATCTGTCGGCCAATTTGTTTGTATATAACAGCAGCAGGAACAATAGTAAGAGCGAGCATGGACTCAGCACGGGCCACATGGTGTCTTGCCTGGAGTCCCCACAACAGGTAAACAGTAGTCTCATCATTGAACAGATGAGGAAACTGAGGCACAGAGGAGTTAATGAACTTGCTCGAGGTCACGCAGCGCGTGGGTCAGAATTAGGGTCAGAACCCAGACAGCAGGCTCCAGAGCTGTGGTTTTCATAACTCTGCTCTCAGGGAGTGACTGCAAGTAGCTCTTTGCCTGTGAGGGAAGGTAGTGCGTTCATTGACGAGCCCAGGAGCCAAAGCCCAGAAGGACTTGGACCAGAGTCACAGTCACTGAGGGAAGTGCACAGACATATCTGGTGTGGTGTGCCTTTGCACCCACTGCCCCTCGGCTAGAAGACTTTTTATTTCATTTTTCATTTCTTTATATCTCCCTCATTCGCTTTCACTCTTGCTCTTTTTCTGGTTTCTTATGTGGAAATGAAAAAACCTTATAAAAAGTAATAAAAGTCTGGGGCGCCTGGGTGGTTCAGTCAGTTAAGCGTCTGCCTTCGGCTCAGGTCATGGTCCCGGGGTCCTGGGATGGAGCCCCGCATCGGGCTCCCTGCTCTGCGGGGATCCCGATTCTCCCTCTCCCCTCTCCCCCACTCGTTCTCCTGCATGCTCTCTCTCTCAAATAAGTAAATTGAATCTTAAAAAAAAAAATAAAAAATCTTTTAAAAAAAGTAATGAAAGTCTTTTGTGACTTTTATATTTTGCTTATTATAAAAAGTTCAAACTAGTCAGATGTACATAACAAAGAAAAGTCTCTCTCCCCGCCCATCCAATCTCACGTTCCAGAAAGAATCTTTGTTTATAGTCTAATGCCGTGGTTCCCAAACTGAGCCAGGGCACCCTGGACCACTGCAGGGAATTCACAGGGTTACCCCAGGATATTCTGTATCCTTGAGGGAAACACCGTGGCGTCTGACATGTTTCCGATACTGCATAAAGTACTACCTTAACATACTTCACCGTTTTCAGCATTTCATATTACATTCTTTTCTTTGCAAATCTGGGTTTTCAGGGCAGTTGCTATGATAAAAGGCAAGTACTGTGCAAAAATCAAAATGGAACAGAAAATGAGCATGTTGGGGTCCAGTTTGATTCCAAAGTTTGAGAAGATGTACAGTGCTCAACAGGCCCACATTGTAGTTATTTAAGAATGAAGTAAACATTGTTTTTTCTTTCAATTTATACATACTTTGTAGCTAGTAAGTTTTAGGACATAGCTATTTATTAAGTCCTTTGGACCTGACTATTTAAAACAAAGCTGTTACATGGTTTTTTTGGCCCAGGGACACCATGAAAAATTTACTGAGACACTAAGGGTGCCATGAACTCAGGGAGTTTAGATTCTTATGTATATGCAGTATCATATTCTTTTGCATAAATGGATTCATTATATATACATTGTCCCATAATTTTTTAATTAATATATCATGGGAACACATATAAATCCACCTTATCTTTTTCAATAACTACATAGTGTCCCCTTGTATGAGTGTAGTATAATGTATTTAACCAGTCCCCAGGTCATAAATATTAAGGGTATATCCTTTTGTTTTGTTTTGTTTTGCTAGTGTAAACAATGATGCAAAGAACATCCTTATACACAAGTCCAATTATTATTTTAGGATAAACTTCCAGGAGTGGAATTGCTAGGACTGGCATGTTAATTTTGATTTTAGTTCATATGGCCAGATTCCTCTTAAGCAAAATAATATCATTTTTTTCATACCCACAGCTTAAAAGTGTCCATTTCCCCACATTCCTCACCAACTCAAGCATTATTCTCAAGCATTATCAATCTTTGTCATCTTTGCATGTGTGATAAGTTAAAGTAAAAATCTCATTTTTTTTCCATTTCTTTGTTGAAAGACTTGAGAATCTTTTCTCATGGTTGATACTCATTTTTCTCTTGTGACTTGACTGTTTTGTGTTCTTCACCCACTTTTCTAATGGTGTATTTTGCTTTGGACATTGGGATAGAAAACAGTTACATTTTACTTGGATTATATATTTTATCTTTTCCTGATATTTCATGTTTTCCCGATCTCGTTCTTCTTGTTTCTTTTCCTCTTCCCTGATTTTTGCTTTATTAATCAAGTTTTGTATTAGCTTTCCTTACTCTAGTTTCTATTCTAATCATATTTACTATTAAATGTTTTAATTTTTAATCAATGGCATCAATTCATGCAAATAATAATAAATTGTGTAAAATAAAAAATAGAAATTTCCCTTTGCCTCCTTCAAATCCCATTCTTCTTGATAGGTCTATTAACCTGATAAATTTTAAACCAACATACTGGGACTTAATATTTCTCCATCAACATTAAAAGAAAAATAGTTTGTAGATGAGTATCTTCTTTCTAATAGTTCTGACGTGCCCTACATCATCCCTTCTAATCTGATCCAAGAATTTAAATCTTTCCTTAACTCAAGGGGTTTCTCTCTCTCTCTCTCTCTCTCTTTTTATTCACTAATACTCTTTTTTCTGTTTTATCCTCTCTTCTCAGGAAATCCTCTTGTAGAAACTCTGAGCCTCTGGGATGGAGCAGCCGTATCCCTTTATCTTTTTCTCTTTTATAATTCCCATCTCTTAGTCTTTTTGTGTTATATCCAAGGATAGAATTCCTTGAATTACTCTTCAGAGCTTCCGGCTTGGTGTTCAGTAATGTCTGTTCTGTGATTTTATACTTTATGAGTTTTTCTTTTCCTACTGAGTTTTGGGAGGGCCCATTGACAATCATGTTTTCATTTCCAAGAATTCTTACTATTTCTTGGACTCCTTTTTCTTAGTAGCCTGCTCTGTCTTTTTGATATTTATCCTCTTAAATCCCCCTGAGGGTGTGACACAGGTTTTGTTTTGCTTTGCTTTCATACTTCCCCTCTATTTCTATTTCAGAACATAGTCTGTTTCGTTGGGGGTCATTTATCACAGAATCAATCACTGTGACTAATCACCGTTCAGAGCAGATCAGTCCATCTTTTCATACACCCAGCAACTTGAGGGACTGTTGGTTTTCATAAGTGAAGCTCTTGGCTGTCAACTCCGGCCATACATTAGAACCACCTGGAGAGTTTATTAAAAAACAAACAACAACAACAAAAACAACGGCCAGTCCCCTCCCTAGGACAATTAAATCAGAATTTTGGGCAGTGGGGCATTGGTTTGTCTGTTTGTTTGTTTTTCATCTGTCCAAGTGATTCTAAAGGGCAGCCCTGATCCAGACGGACTGGATTGTAGCTGATGAGGATTCCTGCAATAACTGGGCAGGGCGGGGTGGGGGGGCGGTCTGTGGTTTTCAAAGCACAGGGTACATCAGAATTACCTGGGATGCTCATTAAGAAGACAGATGCCCCAGGGTGGTTCGGGGTGTCTGTATTTCTGGCAAGTGTTCTAGGTGATTCTGCGGCACAGCAGTTTGAGAAGTCCTTGTGTGGTTCACAGAGTCCCCACCATCCACCCCAACGCAGGCTTTCCTCTGAGCCGTCCACATGGCTGTAGGGTTTCACCTGAGAGTGTTTTGGGGGGGCCATAGGTCAGTCAGCAGGGTCCCTCTGGGTCCTGGCCATGTGAGTCCAGAGCAGACTGAAAGACTGGGTCCCCTCTCAGAGCAGGACAGGTGGTAGAGCTCCACGGTCCCTTAAGCCGGGTGCTCTGCTCTGTCTCAGATCCTGATGGGGTTTCTGAAGCTCTTCAGTTTCCTCTCCATGGTGCTCCCAATAAGTCCACTCTTCTCCCTCCTGTTGAGGGGTCTTAGGGAGCCTGATTAGATTGCAGAAGCCAGTGAAAAGTAGGGAAAAGGCTGGAATGTCTTTAGAAGTTTCTCTGCTTTGCTGAGATGATTTTCCCTCTATATTTGCTGTTCACCCTGAGATTACAGAGGCACTACTCTCTGGTTTTATTACCCATATTAGCCAGAAAACACCCCCCATTTGCTGAGGAGACCCTCTCTGCCGTAGGGAGCCTCTGGTCCATATTTGTTTGTTTTTTTTTTTAATCTGGTCCATATTTCTGAGTTTCTTCCACATGTCCCCGTCCAATGCCCACCAACTGCCTCTACTTCCAGTCCTGCTGCTCAGAGCTTGGGGTTTTCCCAGGCTTCTGTTGGGGACCCAGCTAATTTCTCTTCAGATGGCCACAGAGACACAGGTGGTTTTCAATCAGTTGATACCACTTCAGTCCATCTGCTTTATACCTTCCCCAAATTCCTCAAAGTTTATCATCTGCTGATAACAAGTTTCTTTGCCTCTACATACTACCTATTTGTTTGTTTTCTTTCTAACTTTATTTTAATGAACTCCAGACTCTTGCCTGTTGCCTCTTCCTGGCCTGCTTCTTCAGAACCTCTCCTGGCTGGTTTCCCTTTTCCTTCAAGTCTCACTCAGCATTGGTGACCTTTCCTCAGAAAGGTCTGCTTGATCACTC